CCCTTTTCTTGGGACTCAGGAGAAGACATGCATCTCGCACCATAACCTTCATAAAGACATATGACCTTATCACAGAACTACTGGCAGGAAGAATGAAAGGGAAGAAAACACAATGTGAATTCAAATGTAATTCTCCGTATTTTAATATAATGCTGCCACATATCACATATTTTTTCAACACAGCGATAACAAAGACAATAGTTGCGTAACACTTATTCTTCTTAGCATCTACTGGCTGTAAACTCCAACAGAGGTTCTGGTTATTCACTCACTTTGGTCTTAATCCAGAATTAGAGTTTTTCATGCACATCCGTTTTACAGATATGGCTTATGCAGACTGTTGGTTCCTTGCCTTTCAGGCAAATGCACTCCGACTTTGAGGGAAACACCCTCATTAGTTGCCTCCTACAGCAAAGGAAGGGGAAAAGGGTGTGGGGGGTCTATTCTTTGTTCTCCAAAATGGAGTTCCGGAACCCACACGGGGAAGACAGTGTATTACAAAAGATTACTGAAAGTAAAAGATCCCTCTCTTTATGCCGGCATATGGTGCTGGCCCATATTTTTATAGACTAATCAGCACCCTGAGGGTAATAAGGTCAAAATCCCGGCGGCCATCTTTACTTCTCAGAACATTCCTGAAAGCATTTTAACCCTCTGAGTCCCAGGGGGTTTAGCATCACAGGCCTAAGGGGTAGTCAAGAGAGACATAAAATCGGTGCATCATGCTTTCATTGGGCTTCTAGGCAGTAACCTATGAACGCATGATGCGTTCCTTGGGACTCAAAGAGTTAAAACTGAATCAACCTGGGAGCCCAGCTGATTAAACATTTTTTATTATTTCAATGGTGATTTTGAATGCAGGATCAACTGGCCCGCAAGGAATGAATTAACTACTGAGGCTGACAAAAAAATAAAAACAAACAAGTACCATATATTTCCTTGTATAAGTCAGTATATTTCCCCAAATTTGTTATGTTTAATACTGACGGCCGTCTTATTGAAAATGGAATGTGTTTCAAATATATTTGGTATTTTTGGGTTTAAAAAATGGGTCATCTTTTACACAGATAGTAAAGTAAAGGTCTCTTTTTCACGCCTTTAGGGGTATAGGGCATATAGGGCTAGACCTATATTTGTATTGACCAATCGGCACAAGATGGGTGATGTGGTCAGCATCACGTTGGCCGCCTCTGGTCATTTTTTTTTTACAAAGTGTGGCTCCGATAGAAAACGAACCTACGACTTTCCGATCTGCACACGAGTGTCTAGCCACTACGCCACGGCGGCTCCCTTGTACAAAGATACTATATGGTAAATCATGGTGTACTTGTATCTCTCTCTTCTGTCCCCACCTCACTCCAAAAGTCAGTATCTCACCTTACAACCAAACCAGAAAAGGGAGCCAACAATCTTGGCTCCCAGGTCAGTCCAGCCTAACATGGGTACTAGAGAAAGTCCTAGGAAGTAAAGGCGGCTGCCATGATGCTGACCACATCACCCATCGGGGGCCAAGTGGTCCAATAAAAAAAATTAAAAAATAATGCAAGTCTGACATCACATACCCAATTTCTTCTTGGTGTGAAAATGGACCCTTACTTAAATAACAGAAGGCACCGTATTTTAGTCAAATGCTGCCAGAAATAAGAAACATGATTTGTCAATACCTCCATAACAAAGAAGTGTACATGGTCATTAAAAACGATGCATATGCTTTCATTCATGTATTTTTCTTTGAATACAATGAAGGCTATAGATGTTCAATATGGCCACCATCTGCTGCTGGAAAAACATCAAAGTGGTAGCCAAACTCATTCCATATACGGAGAGGCATCTCTTGAGTAACTGAGTTAATTGCAGCTGTGATAATAGTGGTTTGTTACGCAACTGCGCTCTAGTGGTAGTATTTGAAACTTTGGACCCTCCCCTCTCTCATGTATGAATTATTCACATTCAATGTTTATTCAGATGAAAGTGAATCCATCATTTTGAATAAGCCTGTATTGTAAGAGTCAGTCTTGGTATAAAGTGTTGTTTCTGTCAGTAACATTCTTTTGGCTCCCTGAGTACGTAAGGAAACAAAAGATAATAACGAACTTCTCATCTCTTGTAGGAAAAAGATGTTCATCTTTAGCAACAGTCAGAAAATCCATATCAGACAAACAGAAATAAAATGAATGTAACTGCAAAATTGCACACAATTTTTGCAAGCAAATCCATGATAAAGAACCAGCTACAACATTCATAAAAGTTCTCCAACAGACAACAATCAACCATCTTCTACACAGATGTGTGTACGAACACCAGCTGCACCAATCACCTGGGCCTTCTGCTTTAGTCGTCCTTAAGGATTGTAGGCTCCCTGTGTTGTAGTTTACAGCTAGGCCGTGACGTATGTGTCTTTCAGCCCCACACATCTAGTTTCAACAAACCCTTTACTGGTCACCTTGTACCGCATGCTTATAAGGGATATTAGTGCTCTTCTTCCACACTCCCCCCCTACCCAAAATTGAGCTCTGGAACCCATTTAGGAATTCAAGTCTTGCACCAGACAAGCTCATATATAAAAACAAATGCAAACTTTTATTAAAATATAGCACTTTATTTTAAAAAAAAAATTTTTAACAGCATAAAAATATACTTTTTAATATAAAAATAACCATAACTGGCTATCAAACATAAAAATAAAGATCAACAGATGGAGAGGAACATGTGTGTATTGACAATTATACTGCACTCAGTTTTACAGTTCTAACAGGACTTAAGATAACTAATCATTTGTTGAATAAAAAACCCATTTATGTGTATAACTTGAATGAAAACAGAACACACAGGGAGTAATCTGAATGTGGGCTGAAAGTTCTTTTTCACAAGTTAAACAGATTTATATTATATAATAAATATGTCAGTTGGAATTAACTGTTACCCAGGGCCGTCAGCATCTGTGGCTTAGGGGCTTCGTAATGCTGGGGTGCCGGGTTCGATCCCAGCTGTGGGCATCGTGCCTAGCGTTGGTTTCGACAGTGGTATCGAGAAGGCGACCATCCAGAAAGCAATGGCAAACTACTGAACTTAAATTTGCCTAGAAAAACCACAAGAGCCCAAAAAATGATGGGGTTGTTTCTGCAATGTCTTGTAAAGGAGGATACCCAGGGTCAACCAGCTTTCTAGGTCAAGCTAGCCCCCAGTTCAATGTGCAGTCAACTGCCCAATAGTCTCCCCATGTAAAAAAGCATTCACTGATAGGTTTTATACTCTTTGGTAGTTATTTTAAAGCAAAAGCTGCACTGGTTAGAAGGAGTTAACCCTTTTACTGTGAGATACTGAAGAACAGACATTTCTGGTCAGGTCCAATTCCCCTAAATGTCACTTTCCCAACTTGTCTATAGTGACCAGTTTAGGAGATGCATAGTTCATGCTACTGTCTGAGTTTGCACCTGTGCATATGTTTAGGCAGTCAGGATATGAATACATCAACCAACACAAGCATTGGGAGGTGGGGGGGGGGGGGGGCGCTTCCATTGAAATAAATGGCTTTTTTTAAAGCCAAGCTGACATCCAAGGCTCCCACAAGCTTCAGTGATAGAGGTCAAAAGTCATGGCATGAGTCGCCCTATACATGTGTTTTACAGACCCTGGTGGGATAAATTCCATTTAATGCTTCACTTTGTTCGTGTTCATTGATAACTCCTTTCACATATCTTGAGATATTTCAAACAATTATTTTTAAATGTAGGTTAATAGTTTTTTTTTAAATTTCAAAATTTATTAGTCAACTGTTTAACAAATTTGGTTTTTACATATTTTTTTTTTGTTTCTGGAATTCTAACAGGGTTGCAACCAACTTTTTATTATTGTTTTTTTTTTGTTCCTGGAACAAAAAGGTTGAAATATCTTTCAATGGGGGTGAGAGATGGGTTAAAACAGAGTTAGGGCCTGAAGAACTGTAAATAAAATTTGCTTGCAACAGAAGCAGTCAAATATCAATGGCGACAGCACAGGATTAAAATAACTATGTCTGAAGAATTTCCAGAATTTAACTACTTGCAATTAACGAAGAAATGAACGAACCAAGAACTGACCAAACTACCTGCAGGACTTCTCTCACACGTGATCTGTTTCTTTTCTCAGTAGCCAAGAAAAAGTTTCCGTACTAATAGAGCCAGCCACAGCCTGATTAAAAGTCCATCTATGTTTTCCATTTGTCAAAACCTCTACTTGTCCCCCGCTGAATGTCTGTTCTGTTACACTGTCCACTTGATCTCAGACAGCCTTCATTGCATCTCCTTCATCATAAAGCAGCTTACCACCCAGATGTTCGTCAGCAGCCAGTCTACAAGTAGTCAATGTAACAATAGGGATAGTATGCAGATTTTAAATAACTGCTTGCAACAGAAACAAAGGGACGCAACATGGGTTAAGTAAGATAACGCAAGGGGTCTGACAGATATTAAATAATTGCTTGTGACAAAATATAATGAGAAAAGCATGGATTAAAATAACTACAGTCGAGTCTGGATAAGTAGAAGTCACAGGGACCTAAGAAAATGCTTCCACTTATCAGGATTTCTACTTATCCAGACAGCACACAAAATAGAGAAAATTGCTGGGACTAAGCTGGTCATGTCGACTTAACCGAAATTAGACTTAACCGAGTTCGACTTAAGTGGACTCGACTGTAGTCTTCTTTTTCTTCTTCAGCTTTCCAAGCCCTTAAGGTTCACTGCTACAAATATCACCCACCTCCATTCATCTCTGTGACTGCCCTTTTTTTTTTCCAGTTGGTGACCCCCATATAATTTTCATGACAAAATCAGGTTTTACAAAGTGAAGCATTAGCTTCAATCCCCAACTTTGACGATCAGGACAAAACACAATAGGGGATAGAAAACTAGAATTTAACAGCCAGGACAGAAAGACTTCATGTAACAACTGTTTGGACAGAAAAAGCTAAATGGTTAACAAATATTTCAGCCGCGTCAACTCGACCTTTCAGCCAGAGTTCAAGTCAGCCAAAGGTTCCACGTCCAATCTTCTGCCCAGTAAAGTCTCCACATGTAAAATGCATTCACGGAAACAATTTGTACTATTCTGCCAATTAGGACTTCTGGTGGAAATTTGACTACCAGCCACGGCAAGCGAACCTGGCCGCTCCACTCCTCCAGGAAGCCGCTGGTGAACTGGGTCAGCATAAAGATGACAGAGACTTTCAGCAGTAGTGGGGACTTCAACGGAGAGAGGGCAACTTCTTCACTGTCCTCGTAATCAATGTCTTCACTGCTTACATTCTGGGGAAAAATTGATAAAATACTGACAGAAAAAAATACTGACTGTGTGATGTCACAGATAAAATACTGATTGTGTGGTGTCACAGATAAAATACTGATTGTGTGATGTCACAGACAAAAAACTGATTGTGGTGTCAGTGTCATCATCTTGACATTAAATGTTAACTGTGTGACATCTCTTCTGTCATCTTGACATGAAAATGAAATTTATTAAGTGAGTGTTGTTACATGATCCTGGCTTTATATTGAAATTAAATATTAAACGTGTGATATCAGATCATCCAGATATTATGTTGAGATAAAATGTCAACTGGAAGTCACCGTGGCGGAGCGGCTAGATGCTCGCCTGCAGATCGGAAGGTCATGGGTTCGCTCCCTGGCGGAGCCGGACTTTTAAAAAAAATGACCTTGGCTCCCAGGTTGACCCAGCCTTGAGTGGGTCCTGGGTGCAGTCCCGGGAAGTAAAGGCCGCTGGCGTGATGCTGACCACTTCACCCATCTTGTGCCGGTTGGTCTATAAAATATAGGTCTGCGTGGAAAAGATCCTTCACTGTTTTTTATGTTAACCGTGTGATGTCAAAATCATCACACTGACACAAAAATGAGACACAATATTAAGTGAGTGGTATCACATCATCCTCACATTATGATGATATAAAATATTAACTGTGTAATGTCACGACGACGTCTGTGACATAGATGCTGTGAACATTCTTTGTAATGCTGGGGCGTAGGGTTCAATCCGAGCTGCAGGCGATTTGGCAGCAGACCCTTTTGGCAAACTACTGAATGTAAATTTACCTAGAAAAACTGCAGCAGCCACAAATAAAAACTGATGTCACAACATCTTGACATTAAAATGAGATACAATATTAACCATGTGATATCACATCATCCTGACATGTACTGAGATCAAATTTTAACCATGTGATGTCACAACATCCTGACATGAACTGAGATCAAATTTTAACCATGTGATGTCACAACATCCTGACATGAACTGAGATCAAATTTTAACCATGTGATGTCGCAACATCCTGACATGAACTGAGATCAAATTTTGACCATATGATGTCACAACATCCTGACATGAAATGAGATCAAATATTTACCATATGATGTCACATGATCCTGATGCTCCATCTCATTCAGCAGATGTCCTCAGATGGACACATTGAATCAAAAAAGGGCCACTGGCACGTTGTGCTGTGGTTTATAGCCAGGCTGGGGTATCTGCGTCTTTCAGCCCAACAACATCTGCCATCAGTAAACTTCTTTTCAGTTGCCATTGACTGACTGACTTTCTACCCCACCAGGACATCACACAAGCGATAAACACCCGATGACACAAAGTGCCACCATGTGGATGAGGTTCGCCGTGGAGAGGTCCCAAAAACAGCGTTTAGACAATTGGCCAAATTTATGGCCTGCCTATATTGCGGCCCCTGGCAAAAGCCAGCGTGGGGCTTCAAATAACAAAAAAATTTCATCCTAAAAAGGACGAAACTGGATTGACTGAGTTGCCATTTACAACGTGGCATACTAATTAGAGTGCAGAGGGTCTGTCCCCCCTCCCCCCCCCCATCCCAACTGGATCTCAGGACACTGCTTTCATACAACAACAATGAGTATAATTCGGAGGGTTCAGACAGGTTCAGTGCAAGGTCAATGGCTTGAATCATTACATTAGTCCACCGTGAGTGCAGTCACCTTTATTTTCGTCTCATGATACTTGTTCGTTGATGGAAATAAAATAGCTGACACATTATCTGGATCCGCTATAACTACCAACTGTCAACCTATGGAACATGCTGATATTTTTAACTCGTTCTGAGAACTGGAAAGGGTGGAGGACTTTGGGGTGTAGTGAATCCACATCACTCGCCAGAATGATAGACTTGGAAGTTAGGATCGGCACTGCCAAAAAAAATGAGACACACACCAAGCACATCAGAGGACCTGTTAATAAACACAGAACTAGTACTATTAGCCACCTGACTGGGGTTAATACTGAGGGGAGGATCTGAGCATCTATGGACATGTCCAAAGTGCACTTATTGTGACAAGCTGGTCTGGACAGCTGTTTCTTCCCTTTTAAGTATTGCTTTGTATTAACACTATTTTCAATTTTCTTACCTTTTACTTATTGCTTCATTATAGCAATATTATTATTTAAAATGTTTAAAGACAAATGAGAAGTTGAAGAATTAACTCGAGAGTTACTTCCCCCTTTTTTAGTACTTCTGCTTTTCAAATCAGACACAGGGTGAGGTTGCACAGATTTCTGTGAGCTTATTGACTTAGTACATACTAAAGTTAGTAGTCAGTACTGTAGTCTTATTGTCTATTTGAATTCCCCACAAGGGGTGAGTGAATAGTATTATTTTAATTTGATCTATTGCTGCTATTCCTCTAAATTATTTTGATCTGATGAATTATAAGAAATGAGATGCCCACCTGGTGGGAGAACCCTTGGTGAATTTCTTCATCCTAACTAACCACGTTTATGATCTAGTATGTACATGTATGTAAACACATGATCTATTTGATGACTGATATAATGTTTACTGGATACTAGAAACGTGAATTAATATTTTTAATTATTATAATTATATCAATGAAGTGATAATTTATGCCTCATGTGAAATCTCAGCCAGTTCCTATTTCCAGCATGGTTAGGAAATTAATAAAGGAATGAAGTGTATAGTCATTATACCTAATCTTTACTAGGTTGATCAAACCCCATGGTGATATTAGCTCGATAAAGCACTGTCTTGCTTTGATTTAGGAGTTTTTTGGGAGAATTCTGAGACTAGTCTAGGAGCTTGAAAAGTGAATACCACAAGGTGGCTGAATTTTATTTTCACTCTGTCTTAGAGGTAGAAGAAAAGAGGTGTATAGCCCATGCTTGTAATAATTATTGTGTTATATATATATATATATATTTTTTTTTTTTCCCATTTTACTAGGAATGTATTTTCAGTACCACGGCAGCTGGCCTTATAGTTGTAATAATTATATGTTACCTTTGACAACTTCTCTATTGAATAAGATTTAGCACATGTATGGATTTAGATTTAAACTGTTAGTGTTGAATATTTTATGTAAATACTGTGACAGAGAGGAAGCTCTTTGTTATATATATGATTATATTATGACATCTATCTCAGCACCCAGTTATATATGATTGTATTATGACATCTATCCCAGCACCCAGTTATATATGATTGTATTATGACATCTATCCCAGCACCCAGTTATATATGATTGTATTATGACATCTATCCCAGCACCCAGTTATTTATGATTGTATTATGACATCTATCCCAGCACCCAGTTATATTGATTGTCCAATCCCATGTATTTTCAAACTGCACAACGCACCTGTTATGAGTTTCCGGCCCATGTAAACTCACTCCCTGATTCTCATTCTTTGTGATGTGAATCCATGTGGTTGAGATGAGAATCTATTGTGAAATGTGACTGTGTATCTAAGCATGTTAACCCCTTAATAATTGGCTAGGACATTTGTAATTCCCCAATTAATGGTGGCCCATAAAGCTGAGGACTTGTGGAAATGGATTGACAGGTGGCATTAATATTTTTTTCACGCTGATTGATATACTGATTATGTGATTGATGCATATGTGATTTACTTACTAACCCTCTATTGACCTAATTTTCTGAGTCTTGTCCAGTACTCTATAATTTCAGCAGTAATCATAGGTGATCATTTGCAAACTCCTTGTAAGGGTCACCACTAGTTTAAACGAGATGGCAGCCTATAATTATCTATTGAGCAAGACCATCTCAGACTTTGCTGCTCATGAGGCAGGTTTGAGTGGGACTGAGCTAGATAAATATGTCTCTGATTTGTTGAATGCCAAACCTCAACTAGAAGTTGATGTAGGTGTCCAAGGGAGGGAAGCAGATTCTATAGATTGGTTCTTTCAAAGTATAGACATGGGACAGTCTTGCGAACTCACAGGTATTAAACTGCTAGAGTGTGTTGCAGAGAAGGTCAAGCAAGATTGGGAGTGGCAACTGGAATGTGTCCAGAAGGAACAACATGCATGAGGTAAAGGTGAAGGGGGGGGGGGGGGTGTTGAATATGCTCAGTGGAACCAGAAAGCCTTCGCTACTGGGCATTCCTGAAAAATGGGGATGTTCACAACCACACATGTCTAGAGTGCAATGGTGATAATCCAGCTAACCAATCAACCAACCAATCAACTAACTAACCAATCAACTAACTAACTAGCCAACCAACTAACTAACTAACCAGCCAACCAATCAACTAACTAACCAACCAATCAACTAACTAATCAATCAACCAACTAACTAACAACAACAGAAGCCCGGCTCTCTAGCGTAGTTAGCTAAACCGGATTGCGCGGTGAGCGGGTGACGAACTCCTTGTGGTCCGGGTTCACTCCCGGGGGTAGGCAGAAAAGCCACATTTATCCCAGATTTACGGTATTTAAAATGGAATCAAGACCGAAAGGTTGCGATATCCATAATACCGAGCCTAAGGGTTAACAACTCATGGCTTCTGGATACTAAAAACAAAAACAACAACAGAATGAATTCAGCGAGGTTGATTCACCTACCAGATCTAGAAAAAAGTTTCTGGTAGCTCTGCTGATGATGAAGAGAATGCCATACAGTCGGATGGCTAGGAGACCAAGGAACAGTGGCGTCACAAATCTCTTCAAGAATTCTATAGATCTCTGTGCTTTTGCTGAAATATAACATATAACAGATTTCATGCTTACAGAATTTCTTGTTGATAATATGTAACAACTGCTTTTTTCTTCTTCCCGTTAACTGGCTGTGAACTTGAGCAGAAAGTTATGGTTGTTCAACCACTTCTGGACTTTAGTCTTGTTCCAGAACTTGGGTGTTGTATACACATCTGTCTTACAAATCTGACCTATTTGTATGCAGTTGGTTCCTTGCCTCTCAGGCAGATGCACTCCGACTTCAAGAGAAACCCCCAAATTAGTCTACTCCTTGAACTTGCTTGTTGGGAAGCAGTGGGTCTATTCTTGTTTCCCCCATAATGGGTGCCTGAAACCCACATGGGGTAAACAATGAATTTAATACATATGTCTGGTCCAAAGGTCATGGGTTCAAATCCACACTGGGTGAATTTGGTTGGGAAAATTTTTTATCTTGGCTACCTGGTCGACCCAGTCCAAAAAAAGTGCAGAGAAAAGTGGTCTATGACGCCATTAAACTCTTTTGTGTGTGCAGTGTTTGTCTCCCCATTATCTGCTTTTCTCCCATCAATGAGTGGACAACAGGTTACCTTGTAAGCGTTCTGTGATGCCCCAATCAAAGAGTGTTCTTTAGCAACTCGACAGGGCTTCCAGGATGTGCACCTGTTTGCGAGGAGAAGGGAACTGGAGACCAAGCTACATGGGACGAATCTTGGCACAATGAAGTCAGTTCTCTCATCTTTAAGATAATGCAACCAGAAAGAAAACAAACTGGAAAAACTAGACACTGCTGCCATATGTTGGACAGTACTCACTTGAGCTCATGGTGATGATGCTGCCTATGATATTTATGACACTTGACTGTGATTCAGAAGTTCTGAAAAACCAAAATGAGAATGTTGAATTAAGAATCGACATCACAGCACCCGGGACACTCCCATAAGCGCTCCATCCCCATCTTCAGCAGCAAGCAAAGAGTTAAAATGAGAATTAGGTTATCAGCAGAACATTCCTTGTTTAGGTTCAGGGGCCTGACTGTGGTGGTTGGGGGGAAGATTCACCGCCTCACTCACAAGCATTCGGCTAATCACGGGTGTTTCCTTCAAAGCTGGAGTGCATCTCCCGGAGAGGCAAGGAACCAGCAGTCTGCATATACATAAGCCAACTCTGTAAAACGGATGTGCACAAAGTTCTGGAACAAGACTAAACTCCAGAAGTGGACGAATAACTAGAACTTTTCGCCAAAGCGTACAGCCGGTGAACGCTAAGAAGAAGAAGATTATATGCAACTATAAAAAATTTTTTTTAAAGAGAGACACATTGTAGTTTAGTTAGAGAACAAGAAGAGAAACCTTGAAGAAAATCATGACAGCTGTAAAGATTAAAGGTACAAGAGACTGAGGAAGACTGAAAGAGATGATGCCAGATGGTTTAGGATTGTGGCATTAAGGAAACAACAGATTTGATTCAAAGCACCACAACTGTGGAGGGGCACGAACGCCTAAGCCTTCTTGCAAGATACAAGATGATGATGATGAGGGGAGCTGGCAAGATGTCAAGAATCTCTCTATCAGACTGTGTGGAGAGGTATGTTCTCAAAAAGAATTTGCTACATGATGATGATGTCCCCGGAGATTGACTGATTTTAGAATCAACACCATAACATACCAGGCATACTCATAGATCCCTGTCTCCCGCAGCAAATGTCTAAATGTGTAGACACTGTTTGCACACTAGGTGTTCATTCATCATCTCTCACTTTCTCTCATATGCCCTTCTCTTGCCAGATCCCCTTAATTGTGAATTCACACAATCTTACACATGTTATTATATCAAATATTGTATTTTCCCTCTGCATTCATCATAACTGTCTTAACACTATCTCTCTTGTCCTATAAGAGTGTTCCTGCAGACATTGCTTTTGTAGCCAAAAAAGCCAATCGCTCATTCTCTCGCATTTTTTTAAAGTCCCGGACAGTATATCCATGTTTCATTGGAGCAAGTCTTGGTCAGTTTGAGATCATATGCTCCACTGCAGGATAAGTTACTTACTGAACAGATCATCTTCGTCAAACATCGAACAATTCGATCCACAAGTGCTCGGATCCCCTCAGGATATCCCACAGCTTACAGCAGCTAGTGACGCCATTTGTGTATCTGTTTATGATCCCTTATTGGCTTCCTGCAAAGTGCTCTTGTCTAGCCTCACCCTCTTTTCACTTGCTGTTCAGTTGTGTTAAAATTATAATTATTTTACTCATTCAGTGCCATCAGATTCTGACAGAAAAATCCCAAAGGGGACAATCACTGGAGAATAAAAGGCATCAGAAGAAAAGTTAGTAGTAGCTGCATCAACACTCACCATGTAGCATGCTACACATTATCAGCTATTGTCAGAGCTAATCAAGCAAAGCATGGTGTGCTGTTTTATCTTTTATGTTTGGTCTGGGCCTTTTAAAGAAATCTGGCTAATGTCGCTTTGTGCGACACTCTCGACAGGCAGCTAGCTGTTGTGTGGAGAGAGACCGAGACATGATAAAACCCGATGCAATGAAGTCTATCCTCTTGACTTTAACCTTACTTTTTACTAGCCTTTCTTATCCATTTTGTCTCCTATTATTTATTTTGTGTTCCATGTTTATCACATCAGTTGTTTAACTAGTGTCTAAAAGCTGTTCTCGTCCTATGGGAAGCCTCTATGTCTACAGTTTACTCCAACACATTTTGGAGAGAATGAGGCACCTGGCTGTAACCAGAGGGTCTGGCCGGCTCACTACACTCAGATGAAAGGCAAGACGGACTTTTAACCAGAATGTGACTGGTACCATCAGTATGGGAACTCTGCGCTGGCTGCTGAAGATGAAGACGGAGCATGCATGGTAACGCCCCGAGTGCTGTGATGTCAATTCTTGACTCAAAACACATTTGTAATTCTCTCTGTGGACTTTATTTTTCTCCGTACAGGTTTCCTGACCCCAGAAGTGCAAAAATAATCCTCATGCTACTGTATTGTGGTTATTGTTCCTTCTGAGACTCTAAATTTCTAGAACCAGACAGAGTTATAAAGCAGAAATAAAACTTACTGTGTCCACAAAAGTGGTTCAGCTAGTGGTGAACTGATCTCTTTAGTCTCCACAACCATGATATACAGAATCGTCACACTGATGAGGCTACAGAAGGCACAGTCACTGATGATACCTAGTGATAATCACTTTTTGTCACATTTAAATAAAGAGACACATGGATTGAAAAAAAAATTACACTGCAGAATTCAGGATTACTATCATCAAGTGCCTTGCCGACTGGCATAGGCAAAAATGCCTCTCCACAATCTGCAATCGCAACTGTCTGTATCAGTTCCTGTGTTGTGTTGCGATCTGAATGATTGACGCACCCGCTAGAGACTGTAGAGGACAGTCAAGAGTGCAGTCAAAGGAAGAGAAGAATCTGTCTTGGGTGACGACGCAGGTAAGCGTAGGATCCTTAGTGAAACAAGACAGTAGCTCGAGATGTCAGCAATACATTTTATAAGTTATGAAAAGGCTACCGGTGACCCCAGGAGCGGGCCTGTAGGCCGAAAGTGTTCATTGTGGACTCACGTCGAGGCTAGGTGTTCCCTTTCATGTGACACCGCCTTGGAAGCATATCTTAGTGTATAGGTGGAGCGTTAGACGGACAGTCGTCCTGTATTACCAGTTCACTGTCACCACCATACTGTGTTTGCGTCCCCACAAACATGACTAATGCACCATTACTGAGAATGGACTTTTGCCAGTATGTGTGGCTGATACATTAGGACATTCAGATCGCAACATGTTGACACTCCTCCATGCCATGACAAAAGGCTGTCAAGAATCATTTCATGCTATCTTCCTCTCTCTCTCTCTCTTTCCAATAATCCTTCCAGCAGTAAAATGTTAAATTTTCTCTCTTCTAAAAAAAAATGATGATTGTCTCTCTCTGATGTTTGTGATTAGTTGTCTTTGAGCATTCACCTCTTTCAAAACCCCTTGGCTGCTCTTCTTAGTTTTACAAGGAATTTTAAGGATTTTTCTGTAAAACCAACCACATCTCCGAGGTCTCAAGATTTTTTTCGGCTTGTTTACTAATTGTCCAGGCTTCACAACTGTGTGTTATAAAACTGGCTCTACCTAAGATGCGAGAATTCTTTTCCCTAACCTCCAATGACATGGATTTATTGCAAAAAATGTTCTTCATGTCTTCAGAATATTAATACTTAATGAGATTACAAAACACAGTTACTGATACTGTTAACATTTAAAAAATAATGGGGGTCTATAAACCAGCCTCCATCCATTTTAACCGATCTGCCCATCAGAATCAATATTTCTGTTACTGCCACAAAATCTTGTTCCGGGAATCAAACCAGCAGCCTCTTCTTAGCAAATCATTTCATTCATAGTCTAAGAATTCTCAAACCTGGAGGGATCACTGGTCATCTGATATTTATCTAATTGTTCTCAAACCTGAAGGGATCAATGGTCATCTGATATTTATCTAATTGTTCTCAAACCTGGAGGGATCAATGGTCATCTGATATTTATCTAATTGTTCTCAAACCTGGAGGGATCAATGGTCATCTGATATTTATCTAATTGTTCTCAAACCTGGAGGGATCAATGGTCATCTGATATTTATCTAATTGTTCTCAAACCTGGAGGGATCAATGGTCATCTGATATTTATCTAATTGTTCTCAAACCTGGAGGGATCAATGGTCATCTGATATTTATCTAATTGTTCTCAAACCTGGAGGGATCACTGGTCATCTGATATTTATCTAATTGTTCTCAAACCTGGAGGGATCAATGGTCATCTGATATTTATCTAATTGTTCTCAAACCTGGAGGGATCAATGGTCATCTGATATTTATCTAATTGTTCTCAAACCTGGAGGGATCAATGGTCATCTGATATTTATCTGTTATTTTGAGTTTATGTAATTTGTACATTTCCGTCTCCTTTTCTCTCTTTAAGAAATGTATCATTACGTAATAGCATTTTCCTCCGAAGAAGGAACACAAACTCCGTAGTGCCAGCGACAATTCCCAGGATTCCCTGTAAAAATGCACTCATGAAATGAACACTGCATCTGTGAAATGTACCCATGACCCCACACATAAAAAACAATTTAATTGAGATAATTATTGGTGAAAGCACACACAAAAACTATCAGGCAAACTGAATACATTTACCTTCATGTGCCATCAACATCATGTTGTGCAAGGCCACCAAAAGTAACAGGACAATAAATAAACACCTGAAAAAGAAGAAAGTAATGTGTCCATAACAAAACTATAAAAATGTGCTGCTCATTTCACAAAAGTGGTCTGGACACTGTTTCTTCTTCTTGTGTGTTCACCCTTACAAGAGTAGTTATAGTTAACACATTGTGTTGTGGTTTAGAGTAAGGTTATGACATCTGTGCCTTTCATCCCACACCTGATTTCAGCAAATCTCTAATTAATCGCCTTTTACAACATGTTATGGGAGCAGTGACTCTATTCTGGTCTCCCCAAAACGGGTCCTCGGAACACATATAGGAAACCCACATTGTTTATTACGGAGGTCATAGCAGACCAACTGACACCGTTATGAAGACATCCAAACATAAGTATCAGCGCCAAGAAACAGATTATAAACAGCATGTTCATACCAACACTAAGCTACCTGTGCCAGACTTGGACATTATCGAAAGCTAACCCATGTAAAATTAACACCTGCGAAATGTTAGAAATGGTATTATCAAACAGACTGTAGGAACAACATCACGAAGCAAATTCACTGATAAACAGAAAATCAAATGGTTTGGTCATCTATCAAGAATACAGCCAGAACAACTAACTACCAATGCAGGCACTACACATGAAAGGATCTGAAGTGAAAGCAAGAGGCCACCCTAGAAGGACATGGATTGATGACATTAAAAAGCTTCTACATCGACACAGAATGACAATAGTCATTGCTGCCTACCTAGCAATGGATCACAAACTGTTCCTCCCCACAACAGAAGTGGAAATTGATGATAATGAGGATAGCAGACAGTTCTGGTTGTGACGATTTTGTAAGAAATTTCAAGGAATATATTCAACACTTATTGAAAAAAAAACAGCAATTCTTAATCTTGTTCACCAGCTGTAAACTCTAGTGGAAAATCTTGGTTGTTCACCCACTTCTGGACTTTTGTCTAGTTCCAGGAACTAAGTACTGCATGCACATCCATTTTACAGATCTGGCTTATTTCTGTGCAGACTGTTGGTTTCTTGCTTCTAAGGCAGATGCACGTTGACTTAAGAAGAACCAAACTGTCAAATTCTGACCAGAATGGGTTGATAGCATCTAGACATCCTGCCCGAAGAAACTATCTTTGCTGTACACACCAGGAGACGCCAGGGTGAAAGGAAATGAAAGCCGTGACAGACTGGTCGTGTCTGCAGTGGTTTGGCAGAGGAAAAATTATGGACTGAGCAGGCTTACTCAATGTGCTGCATTCCCGTGATGCTGGGACAAAGGGGTCAAGAGATGATAAACCACCCGATGGAAATGGGTAGTCAACGAGGACAAGCATGTAGAAACCGGTTACGGGGCAAAGAATGAAAATGGGTAGTGAATGAGGACAAGCATGTAGAAACCGGTTACAGGGCAAAGAATGGAAATTGGTAGTGAACGAGGACAAGCATGTAGAAACCGGTTATGAGGCAAAAAAAATGAAAATATGCCCTTCAATTTTAACTGGGGAATGTTCAGCGTAGAGAGACTGAGATGGCTGCTGCACAGGAGGATGGAGCACACATGGATCAGACCGAAGTGCTAGCATGTGGATACGGACAACAAACAAATAACAAGCATGCACTGTTAACTATGGGAATAACAGGTGGTGAGGACCCCAGTTTCTTTCACGGTGTGATTCTCGTATTGTTGTTTAAAAGCCACATGAACAGCCTTTTCCTGAACTGCCCAAAGCAGGAATCAGACGCCCGTAAATGTTGAGGATTGTCCTTTGAAATGACTTCAATAACCTCTAGGCCATTCAATTAAGTGTGCTCAGGGGCCTCAATGTTGGTAAATGGAGTTCGCCGTGGGCCAGAGAACCGAACCCCAGCATAGAAAGAACATTAATACAAAAGAGTTGGCAGGTAATCCGCAGGCCAGGTGCAAGGCCTCTGCCGGTCACATCTGGCCCATAGGCTGCCAGCTGAGTAGCCCTGCTCTAAGCCATACACTATTTTAAGTTCAGCTAGAATTAAACATAAAATATTTCAGCACAAAATTCTTACCAACTCTGTGTTACCAATGTCAAACATGGATGCTGCCTTAAAAGGCAGAAGGAAAGTAGCCACAACAGAAACAAAAATTTTTTACGAATTATACTAGGTGTAACGAGGAAAGATCAACTTGGGAATGATGGTATCAGGAGGAGAGTCGACACAGAACCATTTTTAAACTTTATCTGTAGACAACAGATCAAAAGGTTTGGCCATGTAACAAGATTGGCATCAGACAGGGCACCACAGAGAGCAAAATAATACAGATACAGTAGTAACAGAGTCAGAGGTTGACCACGCAGAAAATGGACCACAAAAATGTCAGAGACACTGAAAATTACTATACACAAAGCAAACAGAAGGGCCCATTCCAGGGATCTCTTTCTGCCCTGACGATGCAGGGCATTCCAGGAGTACAGAAAGCTAAAGGTGAGAGGATCGACTTCACTGCACCGGCTTTTACCCCATATGGCCCAGTCTCTCTCCACAGGACAGCTAGCTACCTGCCGAGAGCATGAACTCCATAGCTCCGATGACGATCCCCAGGGATCTCCGTAAACAGTGCACTTTTCAAGTACTAACATATTGCCACCTCCATTAGATATCTAATGTGTCCTAGAAAAATAATTCAGAAACAGTTTTACTTACAACACTTGACTTGGTGCTGCTGAACTGAAGATTTCATACGCTAAAGATGCTGTCACTGCATAACACAGTGAGGAAAATAAAAGGATACCACCCTGGTAAAAGAACAAACAAAATAGAAAAATTTGGATAAATTCAATTAGTACAATTAAATAAAGGCAATATCTTATCACATGCTGTCAAAAAGATGTGGTTTACTTGTTATGTTATCGTGAATTACCTGTTATGTTATCATAATCAACATTAATTTTTATTGGGCATTCCCATGTGTGCTCAGTCTTCTAAAGCAGCAGCCACATCAAAGGTACCTCTACTGATTGCCTCCCTGTGAAGCTGGTTACAATATCAGCTGGCATGATACTGACCTCATCATGTTGAGAAAGGTGGAGACAGGCATGCTCCATGTATAGTGGCAAGCAACACTTCAGAGGTTCCGAGTAGTTAGCATCCTTTGGATATTCTCTCCAGGTCATGCCAGTGTGTTGGGAAATGGGCAGGCAGATAGACTGGCTGGTTCTGCACCACTTGGTGGTGAACCAATGTATGACAAGCTGGATGTTGTGAGGGCTCTTTGGGAGCAATTTAACAGGGCAGAGTCACAGGGAGACCACTAGGGTCTGGGGAGAATAGCTCTGTGAGGAGTTACAAGGAGGTCTGCCCGGCGCTCAACACTCAGGGAAAAGGCGAGACGAATATACAATCAGACAGTTACTGGTGCCATCGGAATTTTAACTCTTGGCCTGGTGCTGAAGATGGGGGCGAAGCACTTATTGGGGTGTTCCGAGTGCTATTATGTCGATTCTTAATTCAACATTCAACACCGAAGACATCACACATCAACAGTGGAGGATGATAAGTCTCTGATGTACAAGTGACAGAAACAGCAAAGAAAACAGAATATACCTTGTACAAATATATTGAATCTCCTTCTCTTTCAATCTCATCGGCAGCGTACTGACTGCACCTCATGACAAAATTCTGAAGCAAAACGACCTGTGGAGTGGAAACATGTTCACAGATGAAACTATTAGAATGGTGGGTAGGGCACTGACAAATCAGTTTTATGCTTAATCTCACTCAGGTACAAGAGGATATTGTGCTAGATCCTTATTGTCACAGATCAGTTAAGTGGGTAATCCTATCAATGTCATATCAGCTGCCTTTACTTTTTCTGGCATTTCCTGGTACTCATTTAAGGTCAACCTGCGTGACACGATCAATTATTTAAAATCATGCTGGAGGCAGATTTAAATACAAGAACTTCAAGCCAGTAGGTAACTGTCTAGCCTGCTGGATCTATTTTTAACTCTTTCCTTGACTGGGTGTTACTTTTTACATGTTTAGTGAGAGACTTAAGAAGAACTCTTGACAAAACACTTGTTTCCTGCCAGGGTTGTATATTTGGCCCCTCTGGAAGTCGCATACCCATGAATTTAGTACTGAGATCCATAACTCCCTCCCACATTAGATAGAAAATTATGGGATTGAAAGAGTTAACTACACACTAATGGGTAATGTGGTCAACATCCTGCCGGTAGATAGAAAATTATGGGATTGAAAGAGTTAACTACACACTAATGGATAATGTGGTCAACATCCTGCCGGCCATCTTTACTTCCCATAACATTTTAGCCAGGGTCAACCTTGAAGGATAGATAATATGTTCAGAAGAAAACAAACTCAACAACAGTAATAAGCATATTGTTATCTTCTACTTCATCATTCTGAGCTCTTGAGATTCACTGCTGCAGATATCCCCTTCCTTCATTCATTCTCTTTCCAGTTGGTGATTTCAAAATTAAATTAACATCTGATGCAGTAGAGCAAACCAAGTATTGGGACAGCCAGTCCCCCTCTTACAACATAAAAGAAACATCTCATACAAAGCATATTCATTCCCACTCTACGCTACAAGAGCCAGAACATGGTCATTCACAACAAGAACATTATTACCCATGGAAACAAGATGTCTGAGAAGGACCGCAGGAGTGACCAGAAGACATAAGTTCAGGAATGAATTCATAAGAGAAAAAGTCAACACAGAACAAATTTCAAATTACCTACAAAGAAGCCAATCAAATGGTGTGTCCACTTAGAGACAACTCCTTATGACATCATACCATACAAGGCATGTATAAAAAGCTGTAAAACAGAAACTGAAGAATGAAGAATCCACATTTTTGTAGGTCTGCCTGTATATTATTTCTCCACCATCTTCTTGGTCTCCCTTTTGGTCTATTCCTGTTCAACTCTTTTGATACTCAGTATTTGTCTCTGTTTTCTACAATTCATTCTATATGCCCCAACATTGTAGTCTATTAGCCTTCATGATGCCAGTAATTAGTAGTGATTTAAACAGACTATGAATTTTGCCGTTCTTCTCATTCTCTAACTGCTGCTGTCTGCATCTTTGATGAGTCCACAGATTCAGTGTAAGATCCTGTTCTCAAAAGTTTGTAAAAAGGTTTTGTCTCGTAGCTATACTCCACTTTTCAGAGCCTTGTAGGACAATTAGTCTCATGAATATTCTATAATACTGTGATTTTAGTGTTACAAAATAATGCTATCACTGGTCAAAATAAACAACGCAAACTACAAACCTCGGCTATCATTAGCACTGGCTCTGCCAGCCAGATCACTTTGTCGTAGAGCCAGATCATTGGCCAGGGTATCAGTGAAATCGGCAGGTTCATGAGACCAATAAACATGATGAGGTTCAAAAATGGCACGATGCGGAACTAGGCACAACAGATCAAATACAACAATAAATACACTGAGAGGGGCATTTGCACAAAATGGACGCTACAATTTTTTTTTGGGTGTGGATTCAATGGAAGTTCACTATTGTTTTATTTTACTTCTTCTTCTTAGCATTCACCAGCTGTAAATTCTGGCAGAATGTTCCAGTTGTTTTGTCCACGTACAAAGATTTGTGTGCACATCCATTTTACAGATCTGGTTTATCTGTATGCAGGCTGTTGGTTCCTCCCTTCTCTAGCAGAAGCACTCAGACTGTAAAAGAAATACCTCTAAGTAGTAGCAGCCTCTGACAATTCTCTTGTTAGGGAAACAATGAAACTATACACACCCCCCCCCCCCCCCCAATCGCCGAATGGGGCCCGGCAAGCCACATAGAGATAATCTTGTTTTCATTATCACTCTTCAGTAGTAGCTGGGTGGTTTAGAATACATTTAAAAAATCATCATCAACAGGAAGCAGGTCTTTAACTCTTTCAGTCACAGAAAATCCCAAAAACAAAAGTATACGAGTACTACATCCACAATCCTTGTAGGAGATGGAATAGACTCACACCCCTGTGACCCAGAAGAGTCCAAGAAGCCATGAATGAAAGGTCAATGCCACGGTTACTATAAACAGCACCGGCCTGGGTTCTCGGGTCGACCCAGACTAAAATCAGTACCAAGAAATATCCTGGGTTATGAATGTGGCCGACATACTTAAAGACATTAATATGGAGCGCTAAGCGATAAGCGGTCTATAACAAATACTTGAAATAAGGCCTACAGGACTAGATAGGGTCCTAGATACCCCAGAGGGCAAAATAAAACTTGGCTATCCTCTGAATAACGGGCACCAAAGATGGCGGCAGCAAAATATCCTGAAGAGCCTCAGTCACGTGTCATGTGTTGTAAACATTAAAAAATTGAAGTCAAAACTAATAAGGAATGAAAAAAATGTTATATCAAATCAAATATTTACCGATAATTGTATGCCTTTATATCTGGAAATTATGGCACAGAAGTTGTAAATAGTGCCCGTAAATCTGCTGTTTGTGGCTGTTACGCCAGTGAAACTTGGCTAAGTACAATCGGAACAAGGCACGGCTCGTACCGGATTGGTAACGCAGCTTTCTTTTTAGTAGCATCCACAAACTGGCTATTCTCCGAATAACGGGCACAAAAGATGGCGGCCAAAAACAGGGCCTCAGTCACGTGTCAACTGCGCACTTCCGGCGACTTAATTTGCGGTTTTCCTGGACTACCGCCACCAGCGAAAGTAGCCCCCATGCCGCTCACGCGGTGTGGATTGAGGCTGCAGGAGATGCGGAAGCTGCTGCTCATGGGTCCCAGCCATCTAGTTTAGCCCCATCCAAGCGCGATGTGCTTGTGACCGCTAGTGCGCAACTGACACGTGACTGAGGCTCGTCAGGATATTTTACGGCCGCCATCTTTGATATTTGGAGGATAGCCTAAAACTTAAAAGGGTCACTTTTGACACTTGATTTTAATTGTAATCCCTATTAATTAAATTAAAAGTAAAAGCCAATCAATCAATCATAGTGATAAATGAGGTGGGTGATGTTAATACTGATATGTGCATAACATAAATTATCTCAATGGCTTGGAATGCTGAAGAAGAAGATAAAAATAAGTAGCGATTTTGATCATTGCAGTGACCCACTTAAAAACGAAAGTAGAGATCGCTTAGTTACAAGATGGCGTCGGTGGTCCACGAAAAATGGCTTCTTTGCCTATCAGTTACTTTGAAATCCTGTCGCTCAATACTGGCTGCTCAGAATCGAATACGTGGGCTCAAAGTTATTCAGAAGAGGATGCTCAACCAAAAGACACCTAACTTACATAGCGATCTTTGTTCAGCCAAATAAATTTCACTATTTGCTATGCGGGAATTAAATTTCTTTAATATCTCCTTTTTAAAGTGAATTTATATACTTTTAGTTGACATTTTTGGATTCTGTGTCCATTTTTACATAAATATGGGTAGTTTTGCTGGAATCTGTACATCATAGAATATAAAATTTAAATTTCTTCCCGGTCACTTCTTGACAGCTAAATCGGCGATTACTCAAAATGGCTACCTCGTGGCCTAAACGAACTGTTTATCTCAGATTAATTAATCTAGGTTTTTATTAAAACAGTTCAAAAATAAGGCAATTTTTATCGTATTTATAATTTACCTTTCTTTAACTTTAATTTCACATGAGTTTTAATAATTTTAAATACTTGAAAATAATGTTTTAGCACGTTTTTAACATAGACTATTTTCTAGGGTATTTTGCGTTGAAAATGGACACAGACATTGGTTTGAACATTTTAAAATATACTTTAAAATCACATTATTGTAGTTTTTAAATCATTTTGGGAATCTTTAGCCATTATAGCATTTTTTAAGCCATAATCTATCATTTGGCATGAATAGTAGTACCTGTTTAAAGCCTTTTTACCTGTTGACCCCCCACTCTCCGCACCCAGACTGACATTGTGGATGCAGACAGTGGTTTAAACATTTTTAAATATACTTTAAAATCACATTATTGTAGTTTTTAAATCATTTTGGGAATCTTTAGCCATTATAGCATTTTTTAAGCCATAACCTATCATTTGGCATGAATAATAGTTCCTGTTTAAAGCCTTTTTACCTGTTGACCCCCCACTCTCCGCACCCAGACTGACATTGTGGATGCAGACAGTGGTTTAAACATTTTTTATTATACTTTTAAATGAACATAAAGTAGTTATTTAATCATTTTTCGAATCTTTAGCCATTATAGCATTTTTTAAGCCATAATCTATCATTTGGCATGAATATTATTAGTTTTAAAATTATAGTATTAGTATTGACTTATAGATGCTTATTTAGAAAGTTGACGATTAATAAAATTAATAATAAATTATAATTTGTTTAACTGTGCATACGTTTACTTACTTACAGCCAAGGCTAGTTACAACTTATGATTATTAATATTTAATAATTATTTTCTAAATATACTAATATATACTAGCTAGCAAACAGATCACATGGGACATAGATACGTTAATAAAATATATATAATGTTCTTTTTCCTCTTACCTTATGAAATGCTGCTCCATGAAAACACAACATAAATCCGAAGCGAATCACAAAGGAGCTTATTAAATAATTGTACTCCATGAAAACATAGCACTGAATCACAAATCAGGTATGAGCAGTTACCTTAGATTATTTTGAACTAGTAAATAAAATATCCAGCAGTGTTAGTTAAGAAGAAGAGGGAAACACTGTGGTAAAATGCGCTCATCATCAATAAAATTAAAGAATAACTCGCAAAGACTGAAGAAGGGATTATGTTAAATCAGTAAAAAGGGTGCATATTTTCACTTGGTTATCAAACAATATTAAGGGTCTCTGTAGAAAAGTGGTCAAGCCATTAACCTCGTGCTCGGAAGGTTGCGGTGAGTTTATTTTACAACTGCTTTGTTCGTCTCAAAAATACATTTTGGAGGCTGTTGCTGGAGCTACGGTATTCAGGCTTACTGCTAAGGTCTCGGCATGCGGCTAGTCATTCATGGTTATGTGGAGAAAGACCAAGCCATATGAAACCAGTAACGATGCAGTGAAGTCAATCCACTCGCTATTGAACATTTTTTAACAGTGGAGTAGAGCAAATTTCGGTCAGATGTATACACACTACACACACACACACAATTGAGAGTGAAAGAAAAAGCATTTTTAAACAAATAGGAAGAGATGCATCATAACAAGAAGAATAGTTACAAAAGTATGCATATTACAGTATATGTCTTGGAAGACTCACTGGATAATAATCATTAATTTAATTCATAAATAAGGTTATCAATCCTGATAAACAAACTCATTTTTATGTTATTTAGGTTTGCATCACATCATTTTTTTTTTAAAGGCAACAACTTTAGTCAGAGCCTGCTGTCCTGAAAGCAATGACATATGGTTGCTAAGGGGTTCAGCAAAAAACTTGAGAGTTATTGACATTAAACATGATAAATTTAGGTCCAGTTTTCACTTGGGAACACGCCGCCATCTTGTTTCTGTGTTTTCCATTATAAATTTTTGGGACAACTTTCCGTCACTGAAATGTGAATATCTCCGCTTAGAATTGGGGTACCGTTGGACTCGGGTTTTCAACCTCTATTCAGCTGTCTTGGTTTAAAAGTAAAAAACCTAATTTTTACATTTTGACTAAAATCCCTAAAATAAGTGTTCAACACTGTTCAAAGAGGAGGGTGATAATGAGAATGAGGAGGGGTAGAAGTAGAACTAGGAGAAGACGATGAGGAGGATGAGGAGGAGAAGAAGAAGAAGAAGAAGAAGAAGAAGAAGAAGGAGGAGGAGGAAGAGAAGAAGAAGAAATGAAAAAGGAAAACAGATTTTTATTTTATTTTCTTTAATGTAGACAATTGTACTCTGGTACTCACTAATATTTGTGGAAAGCATTCTGCCAGTAAACTGTGTATAATCAAAAGAATAGACAAACGGAGGACTGTCTCTATCCCATAAAAAGATCCAAAGATAGGCACAGTGACCAGTCCGATGTAAGAGAAGAATTCTATAACCGCCACACAACAACCCAAGCCCAGACCAAAACACATTTTTTGACTTGGGAAACTGCCATAACAACTTCCCCCTCCGCGGCTTGTAGAAAAACTAGAAGTAGCCGGCGGATTTTTAACAGAACAAAACTAATCTCGGAGAACAGAAACAAGTTGCCAATGAGTCAGTGCACCATCGCAGGCAGAACGAGGTCCCTTGAGTACCCCTTCCCCCTCCCCTTTTACCTTTTACTTTTTAGGGTGTGGGCGGAGGGGGCTAAGGCTCCCAGTCCAAAGGTTTTCTGCGGGGGGGGGGGGGGGGGGACTGTCACACCCCTCTTCCAATTTTTAACTAGAAAATATGCAATGGATGGGGGAGGGGGAGGGTTAAGCCTTCCACCCCCATGTTTTCATGGTGACGGTGCACCTACAGTGAATTTATATACCAACTAACACCGTTATTAAGACATGCAAACATAATTATGACCTCCAAGAAACATTATAAACGCCATATTCGTAACAAAACTGTATTATTAGTGCTAAACTTCGTAAAATTACCACTTGTGATTCAAAATAAGTACCAGGAAGGAGGGACAGGGGCCGACCGACACGAAGATGGGCACAGAATATAAATGATTTCTTGAGTGTGAAAGTGCATGAGGTGGGAGAACTGGCGAGAGACCGAGTTTCTTTCAGGCAGACTGTGATGAGAGCGACGTTCTGCAAAGGACCTGATACATGATAATGATGATGATTCAAAATGCCCGAGGAAATCCGCCAACTTTACAGTCCAAGACAAAGTGAGAAATGATACTGTCAGACTGTGAGAACAGCACAATGCGCCATTGAGAAACAGATCAAAGCTGTCTAGCTAGAATTCACCTAGAACAACTACAAACACAGGCGCTTAACATCGGAACATCTGATGTGAAAGCAAAGAAGTTGCCGTAGGAGAGAATGGGCTTCTTCTTGTTTCGCTTTATGATTTACACCGACAGACAAGTTCTTGTGATAAACTTGACTGATTTAGGAGTTCCATTTAAGCTCCATGCAACTTTGAGTACAGTGTAGACTCAGTGGGCCAGTGTACCTGTCTTTATTATCTTTTTTTTTTTTTTTAACGTATCCAGAAACCATGAGTTGTAAACCCTTTGGCTCGGTACTATGGATATCGCAACCCTTCGGCATTGATTCCATTATAGGTACCGTAAATCTGGGAGAAATGTGGCTTTTCTGCCTACCCCCGGGAGTGAACCCGGACCACAAGGAGTTCGTCACCCGGCCGCCGCGAAAGTCAGATTTAACCAACTTCGCTAGAGAGCCGGGCGTCTTTATTATCTGTATCAGTACAGGCTATGTTCTTGCAGGACATGTTCTGTAGTTTGCACACACAGCCTATATGGACACAATGATGGACTACTTAGACGAAACCTCTGCAAAAGCTTCAGTTTGTGATGTCCTTCCTTAGGCGTAGAGTAATGACCTGTCCATGCCGGTTAAATAAGTATTAGTCATCGCTAGCCAGATTCTGTTCACTTCTGATAGACTGGATTGCTCTTTTATTCTCAAAATATGTTACTGCAGTTTTTTCCTGTTCACATTCTGCCCCATTCTTAGCAAGGTTATCTGCGGTTTCATTGGTAGTATTATATATTTCCCGTCCTTTTTAGGGTGGAATTTTTCGTTATTTGAAGCCCTACTCTGGCTCTTGCCATGGGCCGCAATATAGCCCGACCATAAATATGGCCTAAAGGCTGAACACGGTTTCTGGGACCTCTCAACGGTGATCCTCACCCACAGGGTGGCACATTGTGTCATCGGGTTTTTATCGCTTGTGTGATGTTCTGGTGGGGTAGAAAGTCAGTCAGTCGGTTTCATTTCCTGGTATATCACAGTTGGATGGCATTCACTGGTGTACAGTATACTTTTGGACAGCCACTTTGCTAATTTCAGATCTCAGGTAAGGGAGTTTGCCACTCTTGAGGGCTTGGAACACCGAGAGGGCATGGCATTCTCCAGCTTCAGCTGGATACTGCATCTGTGAAGATAACCACGTGGTGGCAGTCAGAACTGGTGTTGCGTAGCACTTCGGAAGCCTGTTCTAGTACTAGGATATTCGCTGTCTACTTAGAACAATAGGAATAAACTCACAGGGAGCAAGTACAGCAGGGATCTACCAGTCATCAGTAGAAGTTATCCTCGTCGACAAACGTTTCTGCCCACGATCTCCTAGAGGTGGGCCCACCTGAGTTCATGAAGCTCAGGGCTGGTACCCTGCTGCACGAAATTACCGGATGGTGTTTTCTTTCGGATAGGGACAAGACGACTTGGTTGTTTTGCAGAAGGTACTGTGAGATAAGAAGCCGCCGAGGTAGCCTAATTAGAACAGTCAGCATACCTGGACGACCGAGCGACAAGCTTACGATTGGTTTACCGGACACATGTTGGACTTTTGTTAGCAGGTGGCAGAGAGACACTGGCAGACAATTCGGAAACGATGGAGAAACCCTTTTCCACTAGAAACCGCGCAATCCTAGTTCTTTAATCACATTGTACAGTAAAGTGGAGACGAGACCTCTCGCTCCCACTTCGACGGCAAAGACCCGTACTATGTACGCCTCGTCTCTCCTCAGACCGGCTGCTAAATCACTGAACAACATTTACCAGTGGGTATTAACTGTGTGTGCGGCGTCCATGGCTTAGGCGTTGCGAGTCCGACTCGTAATTCCAACGTACCGCGATCGAAACCCACTGCTGGCTGCGTGGATATTTATCATGGTATGAGGCGTCGCAGCCTAAAATGGGTACCAGGGAAGTAAAGACAACCGGCGTATTCCTGACCACATTACCCACCTAATGCCGCTTGGTCTGTAAAACAATGGGTGCTCTTTCCATATGCCCGATGTGCCTATTGGCGCGAAAAGGGATCTTCACTTTACTTATATACTTTGTGTAGACTGAGAATATTTTTTAAAGTATCCAGAAACCATGAGTTCTTAACGCTTTGGCTCGGTACTATGGAAATCGCAACCCTTCGGACTTGATTCCATGATATGTACCGCAAATGTAGGAGAAATGTGGCTTTTCTGCCTACACCCGGGGGTGAACCCGGACCACAAGGAGTTCGTCACCCGGTCACCGCGCAGTCCAACTTAGCCAACTACGCTAGAGAGCCGGGCACTGAGAATATTAAAGGCCGCCTACTCTGCTACCCATCAAGTATTGGATCGCAAACTATTTATCCACAACTCGCAGAACGACAAAACTGGAAATTAAGGATTAGCATACTGTACTAAACTAATCATCATTATCATCTGTATATTTTTTCTTGTTCTATTGCAATCTTGAAGGGTGGCCTTGACCGATGCTTATTTCTCCAACACTTCTACCAGTGATGGTCATAACACTAGCGGTTGCTCCAGGAATAATCTTAGTGTCAAATTCTTGTTTTTTTTTTTTTTTTAAATCGCGTTTGAACACCGAGTCATGTCGTGTAGTGTCAGATTTACCCCTGTGGGTTCCGGGGCTCTATTAGAGGGAAAACAAGAATAGACCCACTGGCAACCCAAAAGCCTGTCGTAAGAGTCGATTAATTGGGAGCTTCATTTGAAGTCGGAGTGCATCTGCCTGAGAAGCAAGAGACCAACAGTCTGCATACAAACTAGTCAGATCTGTCAAACTGATGCACACACAGGTTCTGGAACATGACTGCAGTCCAGAAGTGGACGAACAGTCAAAACTTTCCACCGGAGTTTATAGAGGGTGAACGCGAAGAAGAAGAAGAAGAAGAAGAAGTACCAGATTCTTTGCAGAACGTTGCTCTTATCACAGCCTACCTTTAATAAGTTCGGTCTTTCACCAGAATTCTCGCTTCGTACAGTTTTCTGCCCAGGGTGCCACTTACATCCTGAGCCTATTTTCATTTTCACCTTTGCCGTCATGGAGAAATACTTTGTACGCTATTAGTCGATGAGTAGCACGGGATATTTGCATTCCGTTTTTATATAAAATGTCTTTAATGTCATCATTCTATAATCTCCACTGTGTTGAGTATATTTCTGGTATTTTCAGGGCTGACAGAATCACACGTTTCAAGAATTAGAGCAATATTAAAAAATTCAACTTTGCCTTATGGTGATGGAATACTTTGGGACCCATTGTTCGTTAGCAATCCGTTTCGATGTAGAATGTCATCAATCCATCTTTGATTCGATCGAGTTAATAGGTGCAAACTGGACAATTCTAGAAGACTATGATATTCATGATTAACTGTTGGATAACACCATGGCTATTTACAAAGATAGTCAGTTTACAGTAAAAACAATATAAGGAATGAGAGACTGGTCTGCCATCTCATCAGGTGTCAGACAGGGACATGTCCTCTCACAATTGCTATTCATTTCTTACATGCATAGAATTATACAGGAGGCAAATGCAGACACTGCAGAAATCAATGAGCTTCGTTTTACAGACGATCAGTGTCTTATACACCACTAAGAAAAGAAATTACAACACACTAACACTTCACATCAAGCCTGCACAAAGTATGACATGAGAATAAAACCCCCGAAAACTGAGGTAACGAAATAGACAGGAATTATAATATCATGAATGTTGATGTTAACGGCACTACAGACAAACAAGTACGAGAAATCAGGTATCTAGAAGCATTTTTAAGGAGGATGGCAGACTCGATAGAGAAATAAAAGTCAAATTTCTCTGGAATTCAGAGAAATAGAAGCCAGAGTACAGAAGGCATATACTGTCACCTACCAGTTAGTCCCACAGCTTAGACACCCAAATGTCTCTCTTCCAAAAAAACAGCAAATTATTAATATAATCTTTATCCCTACTTTATGTTATCAGTGCCAAACATGGACAAAGAATAGGGCACTAGAACAGAAAATAACTACATGTGAAATGCTCTGTCTCCGCAAGGTCACTAACACAAGACGAGATAGGGTTACGAAAACCAGCATTAGAGAGAAAGTTTAAAAAAAAATGACCATGTCTGTCTGGATTATACTGACAAAGAATGAAATGGTTTGGCCATCTAGTGA